TAGCCCAGGCTGGCCTCGAACTCACAGAGATCCGCCTGGCTCTGCCTCCCGAGTGCTGGGATTAAAGGCGTGCGCCACCAACGCCCGGCGAAACTATTCTTCTTAATGATGAGTAATGATGGCCTGTGACCAGTTTGAATCATCACTAGGGGAAATGGACCAGACCAGAGAAGCTGGTACTAACCAGGTTTGGTCACATTTTCTAACCCTTCAGTCTTTAAATGGAGGCAAAGTAAACTGTGGAAGGATGCTGTGCTATGAGTTGGGAGGGACATAGGTGGCCCTTGGGCAAGTCATTTAATCCTTCTAGGCTGCAGCTTTTAAATCTGAAGAAGAAAGTAACACTAACTAGGTTATTATAATCAAATGAAGTGAATTATGGCCAGTACTGAGCATAGAACAGAATTGAAAGCTTTGTCTTTTCACCTTTGAATGCTATCAGTTGTAGAAAGAGCTTGTAGTTTACTAACTACTCTGGTTAAACATTGGGGCTGAGTGTATGGAGTCTGTAATCTTTGGTGAAAAGTAGAAAGGAAGATCAATTCATGATCCAAATTGAGTGATTGTCATTTTCTGTTAGTTTTATTCACTCCATGAAGTTGTTTTGAAGTTGTGCTGCATCTTGGCCAAGTTGATTTTTAAACAGTTTTTATTATTAGGCTTATTGATACATAGGACAAAGATAAAATAATTAAAGATGGTCACCCTCCCCCCTTCTCTTATAGGAAATACGGTGAGGGTTTCTGTTGTTCTTTCTTTAACTTGGAATCCACAAGTGCTGCCGGACGGTTTGCTGGATGGCAGCCATCCCCAAATCTCCTGCAGTAGCTCAGAGCTCAGTCGGCTCCATTTTACTCCACACTGCCTCAGAGGCAAAGCAGAGCCCAGGCAGGAGAACGCGGGAGCCTCTACGTGTGTCATTTTACTGTGAAGCTTAGGTTTTAGCCAGAGATAGGTGTGTCACCTTCCACATTTTAAGAACAGAAAAAATCTTTTCAGTAGGCAGTAAAATGTGGAAGACTTGCAGTTGACAAACTGACTTTGAGCTTCACTTTGTCCATAATAAGTCCCATGGATGAACCAGGTCCCTTTGTTGTAAGTTCTGGCCGTTTAACTGCCACATGAATCTAATGAAATTGTCAGGTTATAGTAATTACGTCAGTAATCTGATACGTTGTCACTTGAATGGACCATGTGTGGAGAGTCAGTTACTTCTCTCTGTGGGGTTGACCCGTTTTCATTCCCGAAGACTAATAGCGCTCATTAAGCTTTATGGGAAAGGAGCTTTTATCACTTGTCAAGTCAGGCAGCATATTTCTATTATATTTCTAAATTTGTGTGGCTGTGTGTAACTGCTGATGTACACTTTCCTGCTAGGTTTAGTGGGACTTCTGCCTTATAGCATTTTTATTGACATTTCTGAGTCTGAGTTACATTTTGTGTGGTACCACTTACAGATGTCTTCAATTAAATGCAGGTAAATAAGCGGGATTTTGTATTAGAGGTCAAAAGCTTCCTGACATTCTCTTTAGAGTCACATTTTGCCAGCCAGTCCAGTAGGCTGTGGTCCACTGTCATGTTTAGAAAGCAGAGAGGTAGCTGCAGCACAAGCTAACACACATGAGGTCATGTGTCAGTGTGGGGACTTGGGCTTCTCTTCAGGTGTGTCCTTCTGTTAGGAGGTATAATAATTACTTACTGAGAAGCTAGCATCTGTAATAGCCAGGATTGTGCTTATCACATTCCTTATATTAATTCTCACAGAAGATCTACCTCTTAGGATGAAAACTGAGCCCAGAGAGGTAGATCAGACTACTGATCTAGGTAGGTGCTGAGAACCACAGCTGACAGTATGGGACAAGGTGGGAAGGAGGAGATAGGATGGAGATGCTCAGTCAAGACTCGCACTTGAAGGAAGCTAGTAATCAGATGGAGTTAGTGAACTTGAGAACAGGATTTAGGAAGCTTTGCAGTATGGGCATCTTGGGCTTTGCTGTGAGGAGTGGCACTCACCATGATTGGAAGCTCAGCTGCATCTCTGCTTCTGCCCACTAGATGCCAGTAGCACCCTCTTTATCACTGTGGTAAGCACAGAGCTGCAGATGACAGACTTTGCCCAATGTCTCTAAGGGCCAGAATTGTTCCTCTTGAAAATCATTATGGGATGTGTGTAGGGAGAGTTAATGAGCCAATAGTGAAGAAAAGATACAGTGGTAAATGTTTTCAGCTCAATGAAAGATATGAAAAAGTGAAATAAAAAGGTAAACAGGACAAATATAAAAAACTATAAGATGAATGGCAAGATGGCTCACTTAAATCCTTTTAATTATTGCAATAAATATAAAAGCCTAAATCAAACTTGGCTGCATGGGAACTTTTACCTTTGCATTGTTCCAGGCTATCCTGTGAATATACATGGCTACTGTATTATATTTGATTTTTTCAGATTTTTGTTTTAGTTAAATCCCAATAGCCATACTTGGCCGGTGGTCATACTGTTGTACAGTGTAGGGCCACATACTCCTGTTAAAGTTAGAGATTGTCAGACTAGATAAAAGAATACAAGCAAGCTCTACCCTTAAATATGAAGATGTGGATGACTTGGAGGAAAAAGGCTGCAGTAAGATGGTCCCATGAATATTTACCATAGTAATATTTGATGGGCTGTCTTTAAATCGCATAGAATAGTCTTCAGGATGGAAACTGAGGGCAAAAGCATGCTTCATAATAAAAAAAAAAAAGTCAAGTTATTCTAAAATGTGAACCATTCTAAATAAAAGCTTCAAAAAGAAAAACTAATAGAAATGGTAGAAATAGTCAAATTCAGTGACAGATAAAGTTTTAGGACAATTTCTTGATACTTTGAGAGAAAATTTAGACAAAATTACAAGTAGTCTAGAAGACTTTGTACATTGTGGTTACAGCTTTACTTAATGGATGTCTGTCAATACTATACTGTTGAGTGACAAAAAGCCACATTGAAGTTAAGCAAGTCATAAACTATAGATAGTATGGTTCATTGGTAAAGCAGTCCCTGCTCTATCTGATTTCCCAGCTGCTCCTATTGTTTTTGATTTTCCCAGTACTGGAGATTGGACCCAAGGCATGGAATAGCCTAGGCAAGTAATCCACTATTGAGCTACATCCCCTTCATCGCCCAGTTTTAAAATTGCAAGTTAGCATACAAAGTGATGGGTTTCATTGTGACATTTAAAATAGGTGTATTTTTCAAGTACATAAGATTACTCACCAAAGCAGAGCATATTCTGGACTATTTTACAAAGTTCACTAAATTGAAAAGGATTGAAACTGTAATTAAATTGGTATCAAGAACTGGCTACATGCTTATAGCACTTTAAAAATAACAGGAGAGCTTAGTGAAAAGTGGGTAAGAGACTTGCTGTTGTGCTTCTCCAGAGGAGATATGTCTAGAAAACATAAGAGAAACTGTCCATTGATATTCACAGGAAATAAAAGTAAAAACCACAGTGAGAAATCACCATGAACTCACTTAATGGCTGGAATCAAAAGATAGAGATTGGCACACTGTGGAGAAA